CTTTTATAATATCTGTTTTTGAAACAAGTATTTCTTTTCCCATAAATATCATAAATCTGCAAATAGACAATAACATATTACCTTACGAGAAATATTCATTTCATAAAGAAAAAAGAAAAAGAAAATCAAGAGCTAGGACTTCAAAAATCCCAAAACCTTCCCTTAAATAAATATTTCACTTTCCGCCAAACCACCTCTAGTTTTTCTAAAAGCATTTGGTCGAGGGTACATCAGAAGTGCAACAGAATGTTAGTAAGGCTTGCACGAGGTCATCAGCCAAAACACACCATTAGTTTTACTATTTCAGCTTCATAGTTTGCAAACCTTGCTAAACATCTGTTACAAAATCTGAATGTATACAATCTACTAATAAACTGCATCCCTGGGAAACAAAATAAGAATGAAGATAATTTTCTTAAAAAATAATAATAATATTAAAAAATTAAACAAAGTAAAACTAGTTTTAAAATCCAACTACACATAATAATGATATCTAGTTTGATCTTTAAGAAAAGTCAGTTTGTTGTTTTTTGTCTTGAAAACGAATTATAATTATCATTATCATTGCTAACAAATTCAAGTACACAACTTTTCCATTTATGTAACAATTCAAAAATGTTTTATAATTGCATTCATCAGCTCAATTTATATCTCTCTGAAACCACAATCACCAGATTAATAATGAATAAAGAGCTTTGCAAGGAACCCTTCTTGAATAAGTGCAATTTTCCAAAGCTTGGCAGTACTGCTGATATTCCATACTTGAAAATTGCCTTCCTATCATTAATTCACAAATCTAAAAAGTACTGTTCAACAAAACCATTTAGGAAATAACTAAAACAGCCTGAAGGTCTCTAATATATTGCTCCCCGAAATGATAGCATAACAACAAAATAATTTTAGCGGAAAAATAATTGATGAATAAAATAATAATTAATAAAAAAATAACTAATAAATAAATCATCAGTAAATAAATATAAATAATATATAAATAAAATTATAATGAATACATAAAATCTATTAATAAATAAAATTATAACAAATAAAAATAATGTCAGTGGCATCAAAAATGTACCAGCAGTACTTCATAAGGAATACTTCTAATTGTACAATTGGTAAAATAATTTTGGAAGACTGGTATTGCTACAGGCACTACATACTAGCTGCAGTTAACAGTACTTTTGAGTACATGAAATAACTTGAGGCAAATTTCAAAAACTGAAGACTGGTTTGTTAAAACTGCGTGAGGCCCGACCCAATGAACATTCATTATACAGACATGCATATACACTGAAATAAATGCTTACTTATCAGTCTAAACATGCATATCTACCATAGTGATAGATGGATAGATGTATATATATCTAACAAATAGGTATGCATTTATTTCTGTGTATATATATGTCTGTATATACGAATATCCTTTGGGTCAGGCCTCACACAATTTTAACAAACCAGCCGTGAATAACCAGCTGTCCTGCCCACTTTTGTTAACATTTGTCAATAAAAAAGAGTGCATGCATCAAATAAGCGCCAACTTTTAAAATATATCCCAATCATATTAAGTAACACTTATTATGAGAATACTTTGTCTAATGTTTCTGTTATTTCCCAGCAAAAATAAAGCTATATACTTAAAAGGAAATTATGCACAGAACTCTGAGAATAGAGTTTTCCATGAGAATATCTTATTGTTATTCAAAAGCTCGCAAAATTAGTTTTAGTAAGCTCTGTTACCCTTGAGTCTATATCCTCAAGAAGTAACTTTTTTCAAGCCATTTAGAGAATAAAGAAGCCCCTTAAGGAAACCGTCCCGAAGCTTGACGGGGGGATTCAGGTCAGGAGGTCAAAGATTTAGTTAAAACCAGTTTCTCACTCTTATGCAAATGCAGATTTATCCAAGTGAATATAAACTCCTGCACAGAAAAACTAGGCAGTATAGCAAGAGGATTACTCAGAGGCAGGCTGTTGTTGAGTGAGCCTTCTTTCAATAAGTATGAACACTTTACTGGAGTGAAAATAAAACACAATCTGACATCAATTACTGAAACTGGTCACAGAAGTACATGTACATCCACACAAATTTGTATGCATATGTAAGTAAATGCACATGTACAGCTACACAGAAAACTATCGTTAGGAGGGGTGTCAAAACATTCAATAACGAATAGAACCTTATGATGTGGAAAGTTTGGTATTTTGGGTTTCAAATTTGTCTCGTTCTGATTCATGTCTCGACCAGCCGTTCCAGAATTCATGTAGATTCACTGTGAGATGATGATTGTATTGCCATAAGGGATGGAGTATGCCTTGCAATATTCAGATAAGCCACACATACCCAAATGTAGTTGTAAAATCAGGGATAACAATTTGGTAACATTAATAACTATATTGCAAAAAGTATTGTTTCTTGCGTCAAAATGTTTAGCATGATTTTCTAACAATATTTTTCTGTGCAGCTGTGCACTAATTTAAGAGTGGTCTAAGGCAACCAATGATTGCAATTCTGTACAGATCATGTTGCTCAAAAATAGGATTTGCTACTTTTCATCAAGTCACTTTTTTATTTTACTGTAACTTGGGAACCAAGTTACAACAAACATTTGATAGAGAAATTAAGATAGCTTAAAGTTAGACTGACATTTTGGGGTGTTCTTTTTTGTTTTATTGATATCTTGTACCAATCCTATCACAGTTTTTAGTTAATCCAAATTTTGTTCATACCTTTCAAGGGCTTATGAATATGCCTCTAAGAGAAAAACTCCACAAATTTTGAAGTGGAATGTCTATATCAATATTATCAGTTAACACTTTGACCCATCACCCCATCATCCTTGGGAATGGTCCCCTTAAGAAAAAAAAATCATATTATCATATAATTAAGCTCACTACAGTCACTACCCTTTGCTGGGTGACTGCCATGTACATCATGGTGATATCCACTTGAGGAAGTGGAAACATTAAAATCACCACAACATGTTTAAAGAGTACCCACTGTATAAATGAGCATTAATGATAAATCACTTACATAAACAATAAAATACGCAGTTTCTGTATTTATCCATCTTGAGAAATTACCGGCATGCTATAATCACATCTAACACAAGGCTGACCAGAATCCATGTTCTCCACACAAATCACAGTATAGTCTACTCTCTTCAAATAATTATCACCATTAATGTATGTGACAATTTCCGAGTACCTCCGAACCATGCATTGCTAAAAACGTGTGTTCAGGTACTCCACAAATAATTCAAAACTTAACTAAACTTTCCCTTTTTAGACCTTTTCATTTTATCACAGTACAATCAATGCCTAACTCTATGTCATGGTATGCTAAAATATCTTTACATCCTATATTAGCTTACAATTATCACCAGATAAATTTTGAAACAGAAAAATAAAATTTTCACAAAAAACAATGAGATGTACAGTCTACCTTAACATAACAGATTTATGGTAATAAACTTTTGTCCATAAACCCTGATTGTTTAAAGAATCATAAATTTTTTATACTGTAAATTTGTAAATATACTCTGAATCATCTGAATCCTTCTATTACCAGGACTTCTTCCCAACCTCATATTGCACATTTATCGCTACAATCAGCTCTTCAATTACTGAGGTGAAGAGACACTTGGCAAGCTGATGAAATATCATGACAAGTTAGTGACGATACTTCTTTGACAAATGACAAGCTGCTGATGATGAATATAAGAAATTTAACAATGAAATATGAACATGTTGCTTAACATCACAAATCTATCCACCATCTCAGTAAAAGCAACTGAATATAGACCATTTTCCAATCACTGGGATACAAGTAAATACAATAATAAACATCTTGATAAGGCAGGGTCCCATAATGGACACAAAATTTTACTATCTGGATAAACTGCTTGAATTATTGTACTTTCAGGCCCTTGATTATTAACATTGGCTACACCTGGGTCTGTTATGCTGAAAGTGACGTGTACTTCAGTTACAAAAATTTCTACACATTACTTTTCATAGAAAAAAACCATCACGCAGGAGTTCAAGCAACCTTACGTGGGTCTCCTATTCTTGAAATATCTCCCTGAATTCCTGAAGCCCCTCTTTCAAGAACTTGTAATAAGTATAGACAGCTGGATCATAAAAACCTTCAGAAACCATAGTATCATTGAGCTCGGCTTCCAGAAGCTTGTTGGCATTTATGGCCGCAATGACGTAACCTGAAGGATGCTGAATCAGCACTTGAACAGGGAAAACATAAGCATCGAGTGCAAGACTGGCTGCTAAAGAAATACCAGCCAAGGACTGATCTCGACTATATACCTGAAAAAATAAGGGAAGGACTGAGTCTTCAGAATCAAATATAAATGCAAAACATTACCTGTGAGAAATAAGCTGTGAATCTGTTCCACAAAGTGATACTTCAAATCCATAATGGTGTACAGCTGGAGACACAGAAATTACTTTTCATATTCTGTTGCTCTTCATTTGAACTTTGGTTTTGATTTACAGTGCAGGATAAAATAAAGAAAAATAACTCTTTTGAGTGTGTTTGTGGGTGAGTGAGTGTGCATGTGTAAATCACTTTTTTTGAAATAATAGATTATTATCAACATCACTATTACTTCTAACTACATTTTCCTATTCTAGACATGTCAGACAACATCCCCCTAAACAATAATGGATAAACTCACCTCCAACTCAGTGACTAGCGCCCATGAGGAGACAAAGCTGTCCTGAAGTATGGCTTGCACCACAGGAGAGGCCAGAGGACCCTCCCGCAGTGCCCTGCCTGACCCTCAGCACGACTGGTCCTCCAAAACACCCCACAAGACAAGTGTGTGCACAGGGCGATGTTCCTTACTACCCTTGACGAAAGCTTTAGTAAAGTTGTGGTACTCAACCTGTAAAGAAAAATAATATTTTTCAATAATTTCCCTTAAATGCATACATAGCTAATATTCAAATAAGACAAGTAATTCAGAAATAACACTAAACTGGTGGTATTTATATAGGGAGCCACTATGGCAAAGTGGTACTATATGTAGCTGGACACAAGTTAAGACCCCAATCAAAGAGAGTTGAGCCCTGCTTTGGTCCAAGGTTAAGAAAGGTATCCACTCAAGGTACTCCCTGCCTGACTCATAAAAGGTTCCTGGAAAGAAGACCCCATCCTAGGCTTCTTTAGCAAGGGAGTTTGTGACATCATAACTAGTCATAAATAGTCTCAATATCAGCCAATTTTCTGTCAGATGAGTCTTTACGTCATCATCAGAAGGACAATAAAAAGACTGCATCAGTGTAAACAATATAAAATTACATTTCAGTGAACCTACTTGCTTATATCTATAAAGCTCCTTTTCTAGTAGATCATGAGCTTTTTCATGAGTGATTTCTTGGGACCACACGAGGCTCCCTGGGTCCAACAAGCCCTCTGCTGACAGCTGCATTTGCTCAAGGCGAGTTATTGTCACTTCCATGTCTTCATCCTCATTAGGCCCTATCAGCCACTCTAGATCTGAAAATGTATATATATACATTTTTTTTATGTTAACTCATCCTACCTACTCATCATCCAATCATTTCATAGCCAAATGTTTTTGGTCTTAATCAAAAAATGTTTTCAAAACATAACAAATTGTCCATATTAGAATGTAATGTTTTATGCACATAATGTTCACATGAAGAAATACCAATAAAATATTTTTTAAAGCACACTAGGACTTGCCAAATGAAGAAAATCTCCTTATAAACATAAACCCAATGGGGCCAAGAAATAACAGAAGCACACTTGTCCTTCTACTAGGGACATTAAGGTCTTTGACGAAGATGAAAATTTGAAATGTAGGAAAAATATGTTTTCCCCCCATGTCTTGGATTCCAGATAAGCCAATTATTGTTTTCTGAGAAAAATGGTGAAAAATGGAAAGATTCTATGGGAAAACTAGCACTGAAGGAGCCATAAAACTTTTTACAGAGAGCATCCTCCATTGCCATGGGACAGGTACTATCCTGCATTTGGGAACACCCTCACCATGGTATTAGAGATACAATCTGGCATCTTTGAGCTTCAATATAAAACATATGGATGTATATAAGAGTACATATATAATTTGTCTATGTCACACTATCCAAAACTTACCCACATTCAGCTGCTGTTGAGTGGGAACCTCCATAACAAAATGCTGGACACTGTAATCTGTCATGTTAATAACCAGCCTTCCCATAAAAGCAGCTGGGGTGAACCAAAGGGGTCTCCTGGGAGGCGTATTTAACTGGTACTCTGCATGCAATCTGGTGGACAAAATGCATGATTTACAGTTTATTCCACTGGTATCCGATTTTCTCCAATACATTCTGACCTGGGTTTAAAAAATATGCCAAAATAAAGATCAACTATCATATCATTCCATATAAAAAGACATAAGGAGTTACTCTTACTTATTAATAACATCTTCTTACCTGAAAATGATATCTAAACTATCAAAATTCTTGGCTCTTAGTACAGCAGCAGCCCCGCGAGGTCCGTACCTACATTTACGGGAAGGCCCAATGACAATCAGTACATTCTGAACATTAACTTACACACTCATATGTATGGCTAATTTTACTTTTAAAATATCTTAAAATAATGTATGGCTTTATATCAAATAGATTTATGTAAAATTTCTTTACATTTTGAAGGTGAAAAAGTAAAGTCATCCATTTTTCAAGTCATATATGAAAGTTGAAATGACAAGTATGATTATCTAACAATTCTAATTAAAAAAACAATTATGACATTTAAGAGGTAACAGTAAACATTCCAATGCACAATGAAAATGTTTTTTTGAAACTCAAAGCATAAACAGTGCATGTACAGTAAAACATCCAAAGATCCGAGATTCTAAAATGTGCAGTTTCACTTTACTTCAGTCCAACTCACAAGAGCTCTCCTGTATGCAATCCTGTGTGGAAATTAATTCTCTGTATCTCCTTGGCAAGTATTCACATGGTTCTTCACTTCATTCAAAAGGAATTGACTCTACAACACAAACTTTATGAATGGTTTACTGTCTATGAATGAATCTGACTACCTGGACACCAAGAAGGGTTGTGGGTGAAAGAGAGACAACAAGGAGTACAGTAGCTCTTCTATGGGTCCTGATGGAGGAGGTGGAACATACTTATAGCTGCAACAGAACCACAGGAGAACTAAAATAGTCAGGTAGTATAAAGACGTCTCGTAAGGGAGAAACGTAAGTGATGCATACACTGAAGAAAAAATTAAAGAAATACTTTTATTTAGTAATAAATCATTAGATGCATAATACATAGTTTAATAAAAAGAATATTTATCTAGAACCTAACATGCCTTTAAGACAGGGCCAAAAAAAGGTTTTCATAAGTTCATATTAGCTAATACCTACATATGGCCCAGAAATTACAAATACTCAAATATAGTCAACTATCTATTAAAAAAATGTTGACCTCTACATAGAGTTAATAAAAACACATACATGTCTA